CTCCCCTTCACCCACATTTGGCATTTCTCCCCAGGCTATCCCTCCCCACCTCCCCCTCCACTGGCCCTCCCCTTTTCCCCCCAGTAGACCCCAGTGTTTAGTACTTCCCTTTCTGTGTCCATGTGTTCTCATTTTTCATCACCCACCTATGAGTGAGAATATGCGGTGTTTTCATTTTCTGTTCTGGTGTCAGTTTGCTGAGGATGACGTTCTCCAGATTCATCCATGTCCCTACAAACGACACAAATCATCATTTCTGATTGCTGCTAATATTCCATGGTGTATATGTGCCACATTTTTCCAATGCAGTCTATTATCAATGGGCATTTGGTTGATTCCAGGTCTTTGCTATTGTAAACAGTGCTGCAATGAACATTCGTGTACATGTGTCCTTATAGTAGAACAATTTATAGTCTTTTGGATATATACCCAGTAATGGGATTGCTGGGTCAAATGGAATTTCTATTTCTAAGGCCTTGAGGAATCGCCACACTGTCTTCCACAATGTAGTGGAATGTCTTTAACTTCACCTTTTGTGTCGCAAAGGAGTCTGTGGCCAGATTATACCTTACACTAAGACATGGTGGGAAGTCAGGCTCACAAGACACAGTTTATTTTGTTTTTTTCTCCATTTAAAGGTTTAGTTTTTCTCCACTTAAACCTTTAGTATCAGAGACAAATAGTAGATTTGTATTTTGAATTTCAAAATTTCAGAGTCAAGTTGTGTGCTATAGAGAAACATTGTGGTATAACACAGAGATGAGATGGTCCTTACTTCTCCACACAAAGAAGCTTGAAGTAAGGCAAAGGAGAAATTGCATTTGATTTCTTAACACTGAAAGCACACTATGTTTACTTCTGTAAAGATTACAAATAATTCCATAATGTTATTTCCTCATTGAAAAAAGAAAAATGAGAATTGAATGCTAGGCTGATTAATAAATACTCTGAGTCCCTTCTTGTAGAATTTTAGTTAATTGAAATCAGGTAACTGTCTGATTTTGGTTATGTAACCAAATATTTCTAGTTGTTTTTCAGAGCATACGTCTTCTTGCTTCCCAGTCTTATTTCCTAACCTGAGGGGAAATTCTAAGGAGACGTTCTGGCCTTGTGATCAGAGTTCATAATTGAAGGAGGTTGTAGGAAAAGTTCCTCCTCAGCATCTTCTGTGTCTTTCCTGGTTAGCTGCTGCTTCTCAATAATGTTTGTCATCAATAAATTCATCTCAACCTTTATTAGATCCTACTTGAAAAGGAGACTCCTTTCTGCTGCATAAGTTATGTTTCCTGTTGTCTCTTTTTAAAACTTATTTTTCTAACAATTACCCAGAGTTGAGTGGCTTAAAAGAAAAGCATTAATTTTGTTCATGAATCTCTGGTTTGGAAAAAGCTTAGCCCAGACAGCTTGTCTCTGCTCCCCTCAGCTTCCCTAGGAACAGGTGATCAGTTGGGGGAATGGAATCATCTGAAGCTTTGCTCACCCACGTGTTCGATGGTGATGCTGGCCATTGGCTGGAACCTTGGTTGGGGCAGGCAGCATGAACACTGACACTGGAACTCCCAGGCTCTCTTTGTGGCCTGAGCTCTCTCACAGTCTGGGTGCTGAGTTCGAAGGGAAAGCAGCCTGAGATAGAGAGCTACATGGTGGTTTTTTTTTTTTTTTTTTTAACTGCATTCTGGTCATTAGAAGGAAGTCAGTAAAACTGACCTGTATTATGTTTTATTAATGGAATGAATATGGCTTCTCTTTTGTTTTAATTGACATGTGCATACATAATTATGGGCTATAGAGTGATATTTTGATACACACATATAGTTTGTAATAATCAAGCTAACTAGCATATTTACTACTTCAACCATTTTTTATTTTTTTGAGCTGTGAACATTCAAATTCTTCTAGCTTTTTAAAAATATATATATAAATTATAGTTAACTATATTCACCCTGCAATGCCACAGAATATCAGAACTCATTCCTCTTATCTGACTGTGATTCTGTCTCCAGTAACCAACTTCCCCTCCCCTACTTCTGTGAGATTTTTTGTTGTTGTTAAGAGACAGGGTCTTGCTAGTGTAGTCTGGGCTCTGGGCAACTGTATTCACTCAGACTAGAGACAGACAGTGGTTTGATTATAGCTCACTGCAGCCTCAAACTCTTGGGCTCATATGATCCTCCCACCTCAGCCTCCTGAACAGCTAATGTTATGGGCGTGCACCATTGCATCTGTCTGATTTTTTGCTTTGTAGAGATGTCCCCCTATGTTGCTGAAGCTGGTCGGGAACTTTTGGGCTCAGTTGATTCTCCTGCCTTTTTCTTTCAAAGTGCTAGAAAATTACAGGCATTGGCTGTGTTTCCCAGCCCTCAGTTTTTCCGTAGCTCCCACTCATAAGAATGTGCAGTATTTATCTTTCTGTGTTCGCACTTAACATCCTCTAGAGTGATCCACGTGGCCACATTTCATTTCTTTATATGCTGAATAATATTCCATTGTGTATGTGTCCCACAGTTTTTTGACCATTTATTGATGGACATGTAGGTTGATTCCATACATTAGCGGTTGTGACTAGTGCTCTAATAAACATACGAGTACAGGTATCCTTTTGACTTCTTGTTTTCTATCGCCTGAACACCCAGTAGTGGGGTTGCTGGATCCCTCAGCAGGTCCATTATTAGATTGTTGAGAAAACCTCATGTTGTTTTCTATAATGTCTGTAGTAATTTACCTTCCCACAACAGCATTTGTTATTTTTGTCTTTTCAGTGATAGCCATTTATTCGAACTGGAGCAAGATTATATCACATTGTAGGTTTGATTTGTAGTTCCCTGGAGGTTAGTGTTATGGAGCATTTTAAAATGTATTTATTGGCCATTTTTATTTCTTCTTTAAAAAAAATAGAAATGTATAATCAGATCTTTTGCCCTGAACTCAGATTATTTTTTTACTGTCAGGGTGTTTGAGTTCCTTGTATATTTTGGATATTAGTCCCTTATTAGATGAGTAGCTTGACAATATTTTCTTTTATTCTACTGGTTTTCTCTTCGCTCAGTTGTTTGCTGGGCAGAAGCTCTTTAGCTTAATGTAGTACCACTTGCCTATCATTTGTTTTTTGCCTATGCTTCTGATGTCTTACCCATAAAAATCTTTGTGCAGATGAATGTCCTAAAGCATTTTCCCTATGTTTACTTGTAGTAGCTTGATAATTTTGGGCCTTGCATTAAGTCTTTAATCAATTCTGAGTTTATTTTGTTATTTGGTGTTAGATAGAAAGTTATATGAATATTTCGTTTTCCCAGTGCCATTCATTTGAAGAGGGCGTCCTTTCCTTAATGTATATTCTTGGCACCTTAGTCCAAAATCAGTTGGCTGTAAATATATGGATTTATTTTTGGGTATTGTATTCTATGGCCTTTACCCCGAGAATGATTAATTTTTAAAATGCAATTCAAATTAGCAGGAAACATTTGCAGTTTAGGGAAAGGCTTATGGCATCACAATCTTTATTTACAGGATTCATTATTTGTGTGGGTTTTCTTTTTTTTTTTTTTTGATATATGGTCTTATCTGTCATCCAGGGAGAAGTGTAGTGATGTTGTCATAATTCACTGCAAACCTGAACTTTGGGTGCAAGCCATTCTTTTGCCTCAGTCTCTTAACAAGCTGGGTCTACAGGCATGAGCCATTATGCCTGGCTAATTTTTATTTTATTTTGTAAAGATTGGGGATCTCACTATGTTGCTCTGGCTGATCTCAAATTTTTGACCTCAAGTGATCTTTCTGCCACAGCCTCCTAAAGTGCTGGGATTACAGGCATGAGCCACCATGCCTAGCATAGAGTATATTAATTTCAAAGTCTTATTCTGAGAGCCATTTATTGACTTTGGCCTAAATAACTCAATATGATATCTCTGAAACTTTTTTTTTTGACAAATTATGGGGAATGATGATGAGGGAGGGGTGTTAGACACTTTTTTTTAGTAGAGATGAGGTTTTACCATATGGGTCAGGGTGGTCTGGAACTCCTGACCTCAGATGATCCTCCCACCTTGGCCTTTCAAAGTGCTGGGATTACAGGTGTGAGCCACCGTGCCCAGCTTATTATTTTATTTTATTTTTGGAGATGGACTCTCACTCTGTTGCCGAAGTTGGAATGCAGAGGCGCAATCTCGGCTCACTGCAACCACCACCTCCTGGGTTCAAGTGATTCTTCTGCCTCAGCCTCCTGAATAGCTGGGACTACAGGCACACACCACCATGCCTGGCTAATATTTTTGGATTTATTAGTAGAAATAGGGTGTCACCATGTTGGCCAGGCTGGTCTGGAACTCCTGAGCTCATGCAGTCTGCCCACTTCAGCCTCCCAAAATGCTGGGATTACAGGCTGAGTCATTGTTCCCAAGCAACACTTTTTTTTTTTTTTTTTTTTTTGAGACGGAGTTTCGCTCTTGTTACCCACGCTGGAGTGCAATGGCGCGATCTCCGCTCACCGCATCTCCGCCTCCTGGTTCAGGCAATTCTCCCGCCTCAGCCTCCAAGTAGCTGGGATTACAGGCACGCGCCACCATGCCCCTAATTTTTTGTATTTTCAGTAGAGACGGGGTTTCACCATGTGACCAGATGGTCTCGATCTTTGACCTCGTGATCCACCCGCCTCGGCCTCCCAAGGCTGATTACAGGCTTGAGCCACCGCGCCCGGCCAACACTTTTACTAAGAGTTAACTTAGTGCCATTTAAGGAAACAAAATATTATCAAAAAATAAAAGTAAGATCAACTGCAAAAGTTCTGTGGCAAAGATGATGAGTAAAGAATATTTTTTGTGACTCATGATAGCTTTACTTTGTTCTTGAAATTCTGAGTAATTTAAGGGTTCACATTTGAAGAATCTACTATATTATAGGTAATATTTATTGCAAGTAATTGCATTTCTAAATTTGCTATTGGTTTTGTATTAAATCATTCTCAGACTACTTCATTATCAAGCTATATTATTTTATTCATGCAGCTTGATGATCTTACAGCAGAGGAGGAAGCTCTGTCTTCAAATGTATCAATTTGGCTAAAGACAATCAAGTTATTCAACAGGAGTTATTATCTATGAAAAAAGTACAACAGAAACGTGAAAAACTTCAAGAGGATAAAAAGAAGTTGGAAGAAGAAATATTAAATCTTAAGACACATATGGAAAAAATATGATAGAAGTTGGTAAAGTACAAGAATATAATCGGAGCTGGAAGGAAGGGTAATGCAAGCAATAAAAAATTAGAGGAAATTCATTTACAGGTTAGTTTTTAAATCAGGTAAGTTTGTCTGTAATGTGCTTTCATTTATTTCACTGCAAATTATATTTTGGATATGTATACATTGTGTTTCCTCTGCCTCTTTTATAGCAATTTGCTTTGTAAAGTTCTGGAAAAAATGGCATTGTTTTTTTTTTTTTTTAGATATTTAAATTCCCATTATTATATAAAAAAATCAGTCTTCAGAGTGATGATTCTCACTATAGTCTTTTGATTCAAGACCAGTTGGCCTAAGTGAAAACTGTGATTTAGAAATGTTGTGATACTTTTGAATTGGTCTTAAGCTACATTGTTCATTGTTGTGTTTTTAAATTATAAATGGATTCTATTACTCTTTATATGACCAAATTACATTAATACTAACATAATAATGATTTCAAATTTTATGAATCAGACTTAATTCTGGATTCAATTATTAGTTTCATTGATATTTCTGATAAACATTTTAAGCTGCAGCCTCTTTTTTTAACGTCTTCAAAATTGCTCTTTGAATCACTGACTCAAAATGAAAAGCGACAAATATATGGTAATTAAGTTATAATTGTTTTAAAAGTATATTCATTTGTTTTAGAAACAAGCAGACTATGAAAAACAATTAGAGCAGTTAAACAAGGAGGATGATATGGAGATCATGATTAAAGATGCGGAATTTAAACTCTCTGAAATAAAAACTGCTTATGAAGAGGCTGCAACCGAATTAGAAAAATATAAGGAAGCCTTTGCAGCAGCATTAAAAGCTAACAATTCCATGTCAAAATTCATGAAGTAAGTCAAAAGATACACTCATAGAAGATGAATTAAGCTCATTAATTTGTTTTGAAAGCATAATTTTTAGTGAGATGGCTTCAGGAAATTAGTAGGAAGTGAATGCTAATTGGAAAATGTAATTTTGGAAAATAATGTTAGTAAATAATCTTACCTTTAAAATGTTAGTAAAAGATAATTTCCTTCCTTTTTTTTTGCTTTTGTATGTCTTTTTTCACAGAAAAGTCTCATAGAGTTAACTTGATCTATGAGTCACTAAGTATTTTTGAAGCTTTATAACTAATAAAGTGGTCTTGTCAAAAACTACTTGTCAGAATTTCCTTAAATAGAAATATTGAGTTTAATTTTTGGTAGATGACAACCTAAACCCAAAGTGTAAATGTTGCTGCTTCTCTGGGCACATTCTGTCACTCAGGCATGGGACTGTTTTTGATCGTGATCTCTAGTATTATCACTAGAGGGCCTCAAGACAGACTATTTGTGTAACATTTTCAAGATGTTACAGAAAAGCATCCTTGTGAAATAGGGAATAGTTGTCACAGAAATGAAAAGAAGTGTAATTCACAAATTGGTTAAAAAAATAACACCTTGTTTAGCCAGAAGGGGTGTGGGGAAGGCAGAAAGAACAAACCGGCATGTCCAGGACCTTGGTCACAGTGTTAGGGCTAATTGACTTCAGAGATGCTTTAGTTGTTTTTTATCAGCAACCCAGCCATCTAGTTCTCTCCTAGGAGTTGTTGCTCTGAATTATTCCTCAGTGCCAAATGTCTCATTGTTCCCAGATATTTGGTGAAATGTACAAGAGTGAAACCTGAAATTGGTTTACTAAACACAAGTGTTTCTAGGTTTTTTGTTTGTTCGTTTTAGTTTTCTTAATCTACATTGTTTAAGGAGTACAACATGATGTTTTGATATAATTATTTGTAGTGAGTGGTTCTTATAGTCGAGCAAATTAACATATTCATTTTCCCACATAGTTACCCTTTAAATACAAGTATTTCTAATGGAATCTTTAGCATCTTACAAGGAGAGGCATTTTAGAAGGCAGCAACTGTTACCTGTTGAGCCGCACATCATTGACAGCCATTTCTCTTTGCTGTCTACGTTTGCACTGCTTGTTCAGTAGAAATCACCTTAGAAACACATGTACTTCTTTAGAACAATGTTTAAATTGTAATTTCTTACAAGAGGTATACTCTCAAACATCTTCGGTGTTAAAACACTGGTTAGCGGGTAATTTGGTTTACTCTCAGGGCAACTTTAAAGAAAATGCAAGTCATTAAGAATTATTAAAAGAAAAGGAAATACTAAGCATTTGTCTTTCTTTACAGATCGAAGAAGAAAATAGCAGTGATCAGCAACAAGTTTCTTATGGAGAAAGAGGGGATGAAATCTTGTCTCAGCACTCTTCCGAGGAGGCCAGACCCAGAGTCACCTTGTGTTGAAAATCTTAATAGTATGCGGTGCAACAGAAATATATTCCCGAATATATTTCTACTTCAAACCCACAGACTTCAAATAACTGGAAGTATTTGTAAGAATTTCTACTTCAAACCCACAGACTTAAAATAACTGGAAGAACTACTTGACTGAGGTTAGTTATATTATCCTTTCTCTTTTGTGTTTCATTTCTGGAATATAATTCTTGTTTTAATTTGGCAAAATATTGAGTTGTTCTGTTGGCTTATGCATGTTAAGTAAAGATCATAATTAGCTGTGTTAACACAGAAAGAAAACAGGAACTTCACATTTTTTAATTCCCTGGAACTCTCATTCTCAAGAGATACCGTTCTCAAGAGTTTACTAACTTTATTCAATACATGTAAATAACTGACACATTAAAAATTTCTTTAAAAGCTGCATTTAAGTTAGGTTTTAGAAATTGCATGTTTTACCGAATAACTGGAGGTATACAGCCTCACTCTGTCACCAGGCTGGAGTGCAATGGTGCAATCTCAGCTCTCTGCAATCCCTGCCTCCTGGGTTCAAGTGATTCTCCTGTCTCAGTCTCCAGAGTAGCTGAGACTACAGGTGCCTGCCACCATGCCTGGCTAATTTTTGTATTTTAGTAGAGATGGGTTTTTACCATATTGGCCAGGCTGGTCTCGAGCTCCTGACCTTGTGATCTGCCTGCCTTGGCATCCCAAAGTGCTGAGATTACAGCCGTGAGCCACTGTCCCTGGCTCATACTACTTTTAAAGTTTCATTGCACCATTTCAACTCTTCCCACCCATAATCACAAGTGAATGATTGGCATTGAAACACTTTTAACCACAAAAGAATGTTTACTATTTAATAGAATCCAAAATAATTGCATTTATAAATAAAACACTAAAAGGGTCATTTCCATTTTTATGTTAAAAGCTTTGTGCTTGGCCAGGTGTGGGGGCTGATGCCTATAATCGCAGCATTTTGGGAGGCTGAGGCAGGTGGATCGCCTGAGGTCAAGAATTTGAGACCAGCCTGGCCAACGTGATGAAACCTTGCCTCTACTAAAAATACAAAATTAGTTGGCCATGGTGGTAGGTACGTGTAATTTCAGCTGCTTGAGAGGCTGAGGCAGGAGGATTACTTGAACCCAGGAGGCAGAGGTTGCAGTGAGCCACTGAGATCATGCCACTGCACTAGAGCCTGGGTGACAGAGGGAGTCTCCATCTCAAAAAAAAAAAAAAAAGCTTTGTGCTTTTCTTACATAACAATATCTCCTCTGACTATAAAAATCCTGGAAGAAAACCTAGGAAATGCTATCTTGGACATTGCACTTGTCAATTAAATTATGGCTAAGTCCTCAAAAGCAATTGCAAAATAACAAAAATTGACAAGTGTGATCTAATTAAGCTAAAGATCTTCTTCATAGCATGAGAAACTGTCAAGGGATTAAATAGGCAGCCTAAAGAATGGAAGGAAGTATTTACAAACTGCATATAGCAAAGGCCTATTTTCCAGGATCCATAAGGGACCTAAACAAATTAAGAAGCACAAAATAAATAACCCCATTAAAATGGGCGAATGACATGAACAGGTGCTTTTCAAAAGAACACATTTAAGTGGTCAACAAACATATTAACAAATGCTTACCATTGCCAATCATCAGAGAAATGCCAAACAAAACATTAGTGAGACACCATCTCACACCAGTCAGAATGACTTATGTTAAACAGTAAAACAGAACAAAAGATAGATGTTGGGGAGGCTGTGGAGAAAAGGAAAACACTTACACACCACTGGTTGCAATGTAAATTAGTT